GAACAAGAAAAAGAACAAAAGAAACAGAAAGAGAATAGATATTACCTAGGCGTGTGCTATAAGGCCTTCACAGTAGCTGTAGTAGCTAGGCGGAAGAATCAAGAGGTACAAAATCACTCCCATCAGAAGAGGTATACAGATTCGAGTAGATTCATGAAGATACAAAGCAGAAAGGAAGTTAGAACAGTAGATTTGAGCAGGAATGAAGAAGATACAACTCAAATGAAAGAGAGAGAGAGGCGACATTACCTAGAGAAGCTTCAGGTGGAACTGAGGAGTCTGTGGAGAGAGGATAGGTATTGGGAATATGTAATGGGTAGTGGGGATTGTCGGTGTGTAATGAAATGGTGGGGTATATTGATATACAGGTGCACGTGTTGGGTGAAGAGAGGGGTAAATCAGAGGTCACTTGTGCAATTGTTGGGGCTGGAGATCAAATGTGGCTATTCATATGAATGTAATGGTTTGGGCTTTGGCTATCAATGCAATACGTCTTTCATTTGGGCTGGTTCTGTTGGGCCGGCAGATGCATATAGGGGCTGGTTTGGGAAGGTGGCATTATTGGATTACATAAATAGCCACTGTATATGGTTTACATATATGTGGCTATTTGTTAAATTTAATAAGATGAGTAATTTGGCTGGTGGTGCAAGGTGGAGGCTATTTAGGCTACTTCGGGCAGATTGGAGTTGTATGAATAGCCATTCACATATGTGGCTATTTATTCAATTCATTAGTTTGAGTACTTGGGTTGGTGTTGCAAAGGAGAGGCTGTTTCTGCAAATCAGAGGCGTGTTTGGTTGCAGATTCAAAGAGCAAAATCGGACAATGTTATATGGGCTTGACGAATTGGATCTTGGTCATTTCGGAATTATAGTTACATGGACTAGTACTATTTTACTTAGTAGCTTCATTTTAATAAATTTTAGGAGGCAATGTGTACTATCAAGTTTGAGTACTATACTCAACTTTGATAATAGGATTTATGTAGTAGTTCAATTTTTATCCTTTTCGTACTCTAAGTACGAACTCATGACAGCTTGTTTGTTCTTTATTTATATATATAAAAATTAGCCCTAGGCTCCTGCCTAGTGGATTTGCTTAAAAAAAAAAGCACCTCATTTGCACAACCGCCCCAAAAAATTTCGAAACGCTCTCCGTACAGGCGACTGAAGTGAACAGTGCCCGCGCAGTGTCGATATGGCCACTGCTCCTCCGTCCACCGGTGAAAAGCCGCCGGACCACCCCCAAAATGAGCGGAATATAATTGCGCACCCAACCCAACAAGAATCATTCCAAAATTCCTCCCCAATCGCTGCAGATCTTCAAAATGGTGCTGCGATCACTGTAGCAAAAAATCGCCTGGGAACTTCTGAAATTTCCCAGGTGATTTCTGGGTCAAACCTTGAGATTCCAAACCGTGGAGATTACTCCCCACATCATTCCGCACCTTCCCACCAAATTTCAACCAATTCCACCGTAGGAATCTTTCCCGATGACCTTCTGCAAATCGCCGGTGAACTTGAAATGGCCGGAAATGGAGTTCCAGCCGTCCAAATGCAAAACCAAAGGTACCAAAAGTTGTGCCTTGATCAGGAGAACATGCCTGCAGGTCCAATTTCACATGGGTATCTTTCAAATGTTCCAATTTTGCAAAAAGAAAATTTCCCCAGTTCGTCTGCCCCAGCTTTTCGACGAAATGCAAGTCCTTCTTTTACATCAATTTGGGACCAATTTCCAATTGGAAACTCCTCTCCTAACTCTGAAGATCTTTTCTGCCAAGTTTCAGCTCAATTCACCAAAAAAATCAATGACCCCCATCAATCCAAAAGCTCAGCAGTTCATCAGTTAGCCGAGCATGGGGTTCCAGGGATAATTGGCAACCAAGACCAATGCCATTTGAGTTCTGCACCTCAGGTGAGTGTTCCAAACCAATCAGCTCCAATTTTACAAGTCTCAAACTCTTCGAATTTGAAAAACACCTTCCCTGAACACTGTTCACCAATGGGTGTTCGACCAAATGTCAATACCAGTTCTGGGCCTCATCCTGTAATTCCACCAAGTGGAAACCCTTCACAACAACCTAATGACCACATCTGCCAAGTTTCACCTCATTCCCAAGTGCCAAAAAATCATCAAGAAGGTCTGCACATCCCAGCCTTTCCTCAGTTGGCCGGGCACATATCCTCAGTGAGCCAATTGCCCCAAACCCAATGCCAAAGTATTCCTATGAATCAGGAGAATGTTTCTCAACCGGCAAACCAAATTTTACATGGCCCAATCTTGTCGAATATCCAAAATAGTGAGTCTGCAGACTGTTTTTCCACAGGTGTTCGACCTAATGCCCAAGCCAGCTCAGATGCTCTTCCTAGAAACCAAATTCATGCTCAATCACCACAGGACCCTCAGAAAGCTGTTGCTATTATGAGTGGTGAAATGCCAACTCATGACCCCTCTACTGCTCAATTAGTTGAAAATTCAACTAAGCAATTATCTGCAACTCCTAATGTTCAGGCGCCCAAACTCTCTTCTAACCTACAACAGGTAATCTCTAATCCACCTATCAAGATTTCTTCTAATTTTGATAGACCAAAGTACCCCAAAAAATCACAAAAAGCTCCAGTCAAAAATGATGACACTGTAGTGCAAGCAGGCCAAGCCAATACCTCTGACAATAAGCCCAAGTCTCAACCCAATGCAACCCCTCCACCCCCTCCTACTGTAACACACTCCTTTGTCACAAGACTCAGAGCCAAACAGGATGCTGAGAAAGCCCCTATCCCATTTACCCCCCCTGTAATTACAACCAAACAGGGCAAACCTGCAGTCATTTTCAAAAGGGAAGACTATATGGTAAGATTTGCTGATAGATGCAAATACACCATAGTTGGCAAATTCTCAAATACAATGCCTAGGATGGATGCAATCAGAAAGAGCTTCATAGCCCAAACTGAGCTCAGAGGTGGAGTCAAAATTGCCCATTTTAATGCTAGGACAGTGTACATTGACCTGGATAATGAGTATGACCACTCTACTGTCTGGACTAGGCAGCAGATGTATATCCAAGGTCAAGTGATGAGACTTGAAGCATGGAATCCAATTTTCAAGCCCAATGAAGACTCTCCAATAGTACCTGTTTGGATCATGATCCCTGAGCTCCCATGGCATTTGTACTATATGGAGATACTCTCTCCTCTTCTTTCTCCAATTGGAAAAGCTCTGTTCTTGGACTTGGCTTCATTTAAAAAAACTAGAGGCAGTGTGGTTAAGGTCAAGATGCAGATTGATTTAACCAAAGACAGGCCAACTCATGTGTGGCTAGGATATGATGAAGACCAAGATGTGAATGGGGATGGACAGTGGTTGGAGGTTCAATATGACAACCTTCCCTCTTATTGTACCTACTGTAGACACCTTGGTCATTCTCCCCAAGCCTGCCCTGTAAAACACAGAGATGCTGAAATCCAGAAGAAAAAAGAAGAAGAAGCAACAGCAGCAACAACATCACAGGCTAAACCTTTGCAGAAAGAAAGAGCAGAACCTAGTAGGCAAAACCATGGTAATAGGCAACAGGGCAAATCCAAAAAGGAGATACAGGATCAAAATGGCAAAACACAAGTGGCAGACCAGCAGCAAGCCTTAGAACACCAAAACACACTTGATGAGATCACAGAAGAAGAGTGGCAAACTCAGAAGAGGAAAAACTTCAAAAATACCAACCAAAACAAAAAGCAGCACCAAGTTTACATACCAAAACAGTCTAACTTCCAAACACAACTGGAATTGCCAAAGATTGTCCAACAACCAGACCCAAAGCCAACAGGTATATCTTCTAACAATCCTTCAGCTCCACTGGAGAGGAGTGTAGATTCTGGTGCTCAGAATCAGCCCTTGTCCCCAACTCCCCATCCTATATCTGCTTCTGTTGCTGCTATGGTTGAAGGAGGGCTGGAGAACTGGCAGGAGATACCTAGAATTAGGCAGGAAGGGGTTCTTCATGGGGCTGGGTTTCCTCATGTTTTGCATGAGTGTGCTGATGCACAACTGGTGAACCATAGGATGGACCTTCAACCCCCTGCTACCTCTTCACCTCCAGCTCCTATTGCTCATTCTACACCTGCTGTTACTACTGTTACTATCAATGCCTCTACACAAAAATCCTCTCAGGCTGGAACAGATGAGGCTTTGAGCTCTGATGAATCCCAGCATGATGAGGAGCTGAGAAGAATTTTAAAAGGAAAGGCTCAGGTGGCTTCAGATTTTAACATACAGGCCCCAAACCCCAAAAACAAACCAAGCAAAAAGAAAAGACAAGCTCTAAGAAAAAAGAATTCAGGGATTACCATCAATGAACCCTCAGATTCCCCCAGACCTTCACCCCAAATCCAGAGTCCAATTGCAAGTATATCAAGAACCAAGGACCCTAACTCTGCTGAAAGGTCTAAGGCCTATAAGGACCCAGACCCTGATCCAACATTGTCTCAACCTCTCTTACATGCCAATAATGATAGTGGAGTTTCTGAAACACCCTCAGCCCTGGCATCTACTCCCCTTGAAGAGTGTCCTCTCAACAAATACTCCCCTGAATTTGATGAGTATAGGCCCATTCTCTCAGAAGATGATATGAGTGGAGGTCTTGAAGAAGATAATGTAATGAGTGAAGCCACAGATGATGAGCAGCATTATGATGTCCTTGTTGCTGCAGTCAATGGCCCACCTGAATATGAAGTTACCAGACCATCCCAAAGAACCCAAATTAGACCATCACCAAGGCTCACTAGGAGCAAAGTTGCATCAAACAACAGTGTCCCACCAAACCACAAACTATCCTCCCTCTTTTAATGATTAGTACACTCACTTGGAATGTCAGAGGTATCAGGACTTCTGGTGCCTTAGAGAGATTAAAAACCCTTAAAAAACTCCACAATATATCCCTTATTGCTGTCCTGGAACCTTTCCTGGATGACACCCACCTCAACCATTTCAAAATACAACTTTCCATGCACCATGCAATCTCTAATAGCAACAACAAAATATGGATCTTCTGGGATCAGGAATTCACAGGGTCAATCCTTGACTCAGATGAACAACAGGTCACTTTAGAACTAAAACATGTTGAAGCTTGTGATACTTTCCACATCTCTGTTGTCTATGCCAAATGTAAACCTCTCTTAAGAAGACCTCTTTGGGATAATCTAAGGCTCAAATCATCTGATGCAACTGTTCCCTGGTGTGCCATTGGTGACTTTAATACAATTGCTTCTATTGAAGAAAAGATTGGAGGCTTACCTTATCAGATCAACAAAAGCATTGAATTTCTCAGCATGATGGAAGATTGTGGCTTTACAGATTTGGGTTTTTATGGTCCAAGATACACCTGGTCTAATGGAAGGGGTCCCTGTGCCATTGTGTGGAAAAGGCTGGACAGGGGTCTAGTTAATGATAGCTGGTTGACATCTTTCCCTGCCACAACAATCACTCACCTTGCCTCTGCAGGATCAGACCATTCTCCCCTCCTTATGGAGATGCATGTAAGACCTGACTCTGCAAAGAGATATTTCAAGTTTTTGAATTGCTGGACTGAAAATCCAACATTCCTCCCTCTAGTCCAAGCAACATGGGACAAACAGTTTCAAGGGAATCCTATGTGGATTTTCTATCAGAAAACAAAAGCACTCTGCTCTGAACTGAGTAAGTGGTCAAGACAGGAATATGGAGACATTTTTCAAAAGGTAAATGAGTATGAAACAAAAGTCAAAGAAGCTAAAGAAGTCTGGGCTCAAACTAATTCAGCTTCTGCTAGAGAAGCCCTCCAAAATCTCAATGCTCAGTACATTAAACACCTGAAAACTGAAGAATCAGTACTGAAGCAGAAAACTCAGTTGCATTGGTTTAAAGATGGGGATGCAAACTCCAAATATTTCCACAGTTTGGTTAGAGGTAGAAGAAGGAAGCTGTTCATACATAAGATCAAAAATGATGATGATTAATGGATTCAAGGTGATGAACCTATAGGAGAAGCTGCATGTGAGCATTTTCAAAACATGTTCACTGACCCAGGGGGATCAGTTAGGGAGGACCTACTCTCTTGTATCCCAACCCTTGTGACTAATGAAGACAATGAAATCATCAACAAAGATCCCACATGGAGGAAGTAAGAGCTGTTGTCTTCTCCATGAATCCAAATAGTGCACCAGGTCCTGATGGTATGGGGGGGGGGGGGGGAAATTTTACCAGCATTGTTGGGATATCATCAAACATGACCTTTTGAATGTGGTGCTAGCTTTCTTCAGTAGCCACACAATGCCTAGATACATGACTCAAGCATGTCTGGTTTTACTCCCCAAAGTTGAATTTCCCAGTTCCCTCTCTGAATATAGGCCCATCAGCTTGAGCAACTTCATCAATAAAATCATCTCCAAGCTTATTTGTTCAAGAATCTCCACTTTCCTCCCCAAAATGATTTCTCCCAACCAAACTGGTTTTGTAAAAGGAAGAAGTATCTCTGAGAATATCATGCTAGCCCAGGAAATTGTTCAAGGAATAAAAAAGCCAAACATTGGTGCCAATGTTGTGATCAAATTAGACATGGCCAAAGCCTATGATAGGGTCTCATGGTCCTTTACCTGCATCATTTTGAGGAGACTTGGATTCAGTGAACTGCTAATTGATATGGTGTGGAGGACCCTTTCTAATAATTGGTACTCAGTCATAGTCAATGGCACAAGATGTGGTTTCTTCCATTCTACAAGAGGTTTGAAACAAGGAGACCCCCTTGCTCCTGCCCTCTTTATCCTTGGTGCTGAGCTCCTGTCTAGAATGCTCAATAATCTCACACATGACCAATTCTTCAATGGCTTTTATATGGAGAGAAGAGGGCCTCAAATAACTCATTTAAGCTTTGCTGATGACATAATCATCTTCACCTCAGGCAGTACATACTCTCTCCAAAAAATCATGGACACCCTCCAATCCTATGAAAACACATCTGGCCAGCTGATCAACAAGAACAAAAGCCACTTCATGACTTCTTCTTCTGCCTTTCCCTACACCATCAGAAGGATTAAACAGATAACTGGTTTCACAAGAAAAGAATCCCCTCTTACTTACCTTGGTTGCCCCCTATATACTGGTAGGAAAAGAACTGTGCACTTCAATCCCATTGTTTCTAAAGTAGTGGGGAGGATCAGGGGATGGCATGGCAAACTTTTGTCCTATGGAGGGAGAGCCACCTTGATTAAACATGTTCTTCAATCCATTCCAATTCACCTCCTTTCTGCTGTGTCTCCTCCTAAAACAGTGTTAAGACAAATTGAGAAGCTGGCTGCTAACTTTTTCTGGGGTATGGATAGTGACAAAAACAAATACCATTGGGCCTCCTGGCAACAGCTATCAAACACACTTGATGAAGGTGGTGTGGGCTTTAAGAGCATTGAACATGTATGCAGATCATTAGAGCTCAAACAATGGTGGTGGTTCAGAACCAAACAAACTCTTTGGAGCAGTTTTCTTAAAGCAAAATACTGCCAAAGATCCCATCCTGTCCAAAAAAAATGGGATTCTGGCCAATCCCAAACTTGGAAGAAACTGATGTCCAACAAGAAAGAAGCTGAACCTCACATTCAATGGATCCTTCACTCAGGGTCCTCTAGTTTCTGGTGGGATAACTGGCTAGGCAGTGGTAATTTGGCAAGCTTCAGACAACAAAGGGGTAGACCTGGGAACATCAAAGTCTCCTCTCTTTGGAGTTCAGGAAGCTGGGACATCCACAAGCTCAACAACCTAGCCCCTCCTCATATGATTCAAACCATCATCCAAACACCCATCCACTTCAATCCTCTTGTCCCAGACAAGCCAATTTGGACACCTACTGCTAGTGGTGATTTCACATGTGCCTCTGCATGGCATGTCATAAGACAGAAAAAACCTAAACTCCTCACCAATACTTTAACTTGGCATAAAAGGATCCCTTTCAAATGGTCCTTCTGCCTGTGGAGAGCCTTGAGAAACAAACTTCCTACAGATGCTAGAGTAGCAAGATTTAGCAATCCAACGGTCAGTAAATGTGTTTGCTGTATCAGACCTGGCTTTGAGACTGTTGATCACCTGTTCAGTACTGGGCACTTTGCCAAAACAGTTTGGAAAATCTATGCAGCACCAATGGGAATTCAAATCAACCCCATGCCCCTCAGCATGCTCATTGTCAAATGGGGACTTCTGAAAAGAACAAACTTAGTCCACAAGCTTGTTCTTGACACCCTTCCCATAATAATATGTTGGAATCTTTAGAAAAACAGATGTAGCTCAAAATATGGTAGCAAGAACTCATCCCTTTCCAGAACTTGCTATTCCATTGAAACTGATATCAACCTCCTCCTCAAAGCCACCTATGGGAACATACACTGGCCAATAAAATGGCCAGACACTGCCCTCATCATTGAGAATCTTAGTCATCAGGTTAGAATCTATCAGGTTGCATGGGGAAAGCCTGCTAGTGGAGTTGTGAAAGTAAACACTGATGGAAGTGCCCTAGGGAACCCAGGAAAAATTGGAGCAGGAATCATCATTAGAGATCACAATGGGAACTTCATCCATGCCATCTCATCTCCCTTAGGTGAAGGAACCAATAACCAAGCTGAAACCCAGGCAGCACATATAGGTATTTCTTGGTGCATTAATCAAGGCTACACCAGGCTCCATCTTGAAGCTGATTCTAGTCTCCTTATCCACTGGTTAACCAAAAACACCACCACTCCTTGGAATATCTCCAGCCAAGTTCAACAACTCAAAGATATGTGCAATCTCTGTGAGGAAATTACCTATACCCATGTTTATAGAGAGGCCAATTTCCCTGCTAACTCCTTGTCCAAACTCAGCCACACTCTTACCTCTCCCACACACTACTACAACCTGCAGAGTCTCCCAACTCAAATCAGAGGTCAACTCCTTCTTGATCAAAATGGCACACCATCCTTCAGACATAAACAAACCAATAACATCCAACTCCCCCCCCCCCCCCAGTTTTCCTACCTATACTCTCATGTCCATGATTAAATCCAACCAAAGAAGGAAGATACCCTCAGTAATCCAAATGCCACCTTCATCTTTCACCACCAAATAGACTCACAAAAAAGAAAGAACCAGGAAAAAGAACAGAAATGCCCAGTTTTCTTCTAACTGTTTGTTCCTTTTTGCAGGTATCATGTCTACTCTCCAGATCACCTTTTGGGGTAGCTCCCACTGGTTGACATTATCCTCTCCAATGTTCAATCAATTGAGAGAATACCCTCTAAAAGAAATAGACCCCCCTTGGTCCAATACATACTCTCACATGCAACATAACCTGCAGATTCTAGATGCAGAAAAAGCAGAAATTCCAGGAAACCATCCATCAGGTTTTGTTGCTTGTTGCTGCATCTCTTCTTGCTCCAGACCTCACCCCTAATCCAAAGAATCCTACCGAGTGAAATGCCAATATTATCTCTACAAAAACAACATCATCCAAATGCAACAAAACTGGCAACAGTCTGCAGGTTCAGCTGCAGACTTAACAGAAACTGCAGGAGCCTCTCACCCTCTTTCTATGTTTTGTTGCGCCACTCTTTCTCCCAACGCATCTTTCATTCAATCCAAGGAACCTACCCACAGAAAAGCTCCACACCAGCTATAGCAGAAAGTACAAAACCCAGTACTTTCAACTGTAGAATCTGCAGAATCTGCAGAAACCTCTTTCCCAGATCTTGAAATCAGCCTTACCCCTCCATCTCATTCACAACAATCCCAACCCCTTTTCTCCCAAATGAGCATCTATACAGTTGACTGCAGTCAACACAAGAACCTGCAGTCAACTTATGTGTATAGACCAGGGATCCCAACTGCTCCCCTTTCCCCAGACTCATCTCCAGAATCCACAAGAACCTGGAGATTGAGCCCCCCCTTTTTTTCTAACATGTTTGCTATTTTTGCAGGAACATGGAGCTCACCTGATCAACTGATGCAGTTTCAGTCAGTGGTATCAGCATTTCATATGCTCATTCTGCTGAAACTGTATCAATTGATGCAAGTCTCTCCATCCAGCCTTATATGCACCCATCCACATGCCTCAAGACAGATCCATCACTCACAACAGCAAGCCAAATGCCAGTCTCTCCAATTCACAATCAAACAGTCACAGACTCAACATTCTGCACTAATGCTCCTACACTCACAACAGCTGAAAATACAGCAGATCTTTAGCAAGGAGATGCAGCAGGAGCAACCCATAAACTGGCCAATAGACAGCAGCAACACAATGTCATTGACTCACCCCCTTTGCCTTTGCTCATTCTCTTCTGTCAGACTCCCCTGCAGAAGAAGTCTTTTGTATCCTCCTCTTGTCTGTTATCTTCCCTCTTGCTTTCTTGGATCCCAATGCCAAAGCAAAGTGGAAGATAACCACCTCCTTGGGCCTTTTTTGTCCATTAGCTTTTCTAGGTCGCTTTGCACTACTCCTAGAAGTTGTTGTAATATTTGGAGAATCATCTCCAACTTCATTAGCTTAGTAGATTTAGGACCTTTTGTGCATGTATGTATAGTTGGCCTAGGTTTACTCCTCTTATATTTTGTACAACCAATAGTCTATCATATTTGGATAGACAATTGGTACATTATCATAGGTCTATCTTATCATAGTGTTCAGATATTACTTGGTTACCATATGTGGTTAACCAAGTATATCTTCTTCTTAATTATGGAGGTAAGGTTCAGATCCCCCTCCTTTGTTGTAACCTTTTTATATATATATATATGAAAATCAGCCCTAGGCACAATGCCTAGTGGTACTTTGTTTTAAAAAAAAAAAAAAAAAAGCAGGCATGACATGGTTCAAAGATGGGGACAGAAACACTAAATTCTTTCATGCCCAGGTCAGAGGAAGGAGGAAAAGACTGCAACTTAAGAGAATCAAAAATAGCAGGGGAATCTGGATAGAAGAAGATGGGGATATTGCAGAAGAAGCAGTTTCATTCTATAAGGAACAATTCACTGAATCTGTTACTCCTTCTAACTTCTACATCATGGAACATGTACCTAGATTAATTGAAGATGAACAGAATGATAAACTGGTAGCAGTCCCTACAATAGAGGAGGTGAAGAAGGCAGTTGAAGGTCTGAATGGAGACTCAGCAAGTGGACCAGATGGTTTTACTGGAGCCTTCTATCACTCATGCTGGGACATTATTGGAGAAGATATATATGCAATGGTCCTACATTTCTTCAGTGGTCAGCAACTGCCTAAATATGTCACACATATAAATTTGGTTCTTCTGCCAAAAAAGAAAGAGGTCAGTACTTTCTCAGATCTTAGCCCAATTAGTCTTAGCAATTTTATCAACAAGATATTCTCTAGAATCATACATGAAAGGTTGGTTGATATATTGCCTAAGATAATTTCTGAAGAGCAAGCAGGATTTGTAAAGGGCAGAAGTATAGTGGAAAATGTGCTATTGACTCAAGAAATCATCAGTGATATTAGGTTAAGAACAAAGGCAGGACCTAATGTTGTGATGAAACTAGATATGACAAAGGCCTATGACAGGTTATCATGGTTGTTTCTTACTAAGATGCTGAGGAAATTTGGTTTCTGTGAAAGATTTATAGGAATGATCTTTGATCTGGTAGGGAATAATTGGTATTCTGTGTTGATAAATGGGCAGTCCTATGGTTTTTTCAAATCATCAAGGGGTGTAAAACAGGGAGATCCTCTATCTCCAACTCTGTTCATCATAGCTGCTGAAGCTCTTTCAAGGGGTCTGAATTCTCTCCATTCAAATTTGTATTTTTGTGGTTATGGACTGCCCAAGTGGAGTCCAAAGATTAATCATCTTGCCTATGCAGATGATACCATTATATTTTGTTCATCAGATGCTACATCCCTAAGGCTGGTAATGGAAATTTTGTACCTATATGAAGCTGCCTCTGGGCAATTGATAAATAAGAGTAAATCAGCTGTGTATATGCATCATCTAACTGAAAATGAGGTGGTTAGAAAAGTTGAAAGGATCACAGGTATTGGGCAACAGGATTTTCCATTCACATACCTAGGGTGTCCTATCTTCTATGCAAGAAGAAAATTGGAGTATTATCAGCCTATGATTACTAAGATTCTAGATAAGCTGCAGGCTTGGAAAGGAAGACTTTTATCTATAGGGGGAAGGTCTATATTGATTTCCAGTGTTTTACAAAGTATGCCAGTTCACCTTTTATCAGCAGTAAATCCCCCTGATTATGTCATAAATAGATTGCACAAAATCTTTGCCCAGTTCTTTTGGAGTAGTGCTGTGGGTGGCAACAGTAGGCACTGGGCATCCTGGTCTACTCTATGTATGCCATATGAAGAAGGAGGAATAGGGTTCAGATCACTACATGATGTGTCTAAGGCACTGTTCTGTAAGTTGTGGTGGAATTTCAGGACTAAGCCAAGTTTGTGGAGTGCATTTATGAGTCAAAAGTACTGCAAGAAATTAAATGCAGTGATTGTGCCATGGAGGGAAGGGTCTCATGTGTGGAGAAAGATGCTTGAATGCAGGGATTTAATAGAGCACCAAATCATTTGGAAGTTAAAAATGGGCTCATCAGTATTCTGGTATGACAATTGGACAGGTTTAGGGGCACTCTATTTTCTAGTGCCACCAGATTTTGATATAGATGAGGAGATACATAATGTAAATGAATTGATTGAGAATGGTGGTTGGAATTTTGAGAGACTGTTGCAGATTTTACCTGATGACTTATCACACCATATTTTGGAAAACATAAAGCCACCTAGTATGGAAAATGTGCTGGACACACCTTTCTGGATGCTTGAAACTAGGGGTCATTTTACTGTGAAGACAGCATGGGAGTATTTGAGAAGGAGAGCTAATCCAAGAATAGCATATCAGAAAATATGGGTGAGAGGTCTCCCTTTCAAAATCTCATTCTTTATGTGGAAACTGTGGAAGGCTAAGTTACCATTGGATGACTTTATGAAAAGGCTAGGCTACTCTATGCCTTCTAAATGTTGGTGTTGTGCTTCACCTAAGGAAGACTCATTGGTACATCTATTTTTCTCATCTAGAGCTGCAGAAGCTGTATGGAAATTTTTCCTACAAAGATCAGGCATTGCTGTACAGGAGTTGACATTACACTAGGCTATCATTAAATGCTGGACTGCACCAGTGGTGCAGAGGTTGAAGCCAGTGATGCAGGCTCTACCATCATGCATAGTTTGGGAACTTTGGAAGAGGAGGAACAGCCTGAAACATGGGGATGCAGTCTCAGTGAGTAGGGTTATTTACCAAGTGTCAACTAGCCTCCAATACTTGGTAAAGTTAAGAAAGCCTGGACTAAGGGTACCTCATAGATGGAGTGATTTACTGTTAATGATGGAAAACTACACACCTAGGCTCAAATATTACAAAGTGATATGGGAATTTCCTCAACAGGGTTGGATCAAAGTTAACACAGATGGGGCATCAAGAGGGAACCCAGGCAGGAGTGCTATTGGTGTTTGCTGTAGAGATGAGGCTGGAGAGGTAAAATATGCAATGGGAAAGGAGATTGTTGAAGGATCAAATAATGAAGCTGAAGCTGTAGCAATCCTGGAGGCTTTAAGGATATGCAGAGATAAAAATTACTCTCAAGTTTGGTTGCAAACTGACTCCATGTTGATGAAAAACATTATAGAGAAAGCATGGAAACCCCCTTGGACTATTGTGGACTTGATGGAGGAGATAAAGGAGCTAATGGAAGGTTGCAGTATCAGGATATCCCATATTTTTAGAGAAGGAAACAAATTAGCAGATCATTTGGCAAATTTTGCACTGGACTATGGGAACATTGAGTCCCATGACTTTTGGGAGTTGGATTCACAAGGGAGGAGAATAGTAAATGAGGACAAGCTACAATGTCCATACTTGAGGGTCAAAGTTTCCAAGAATTAGTAGGAGGAGGACACACTGGGGTGTTTGAGGATGCAGGATCTATAGATGTGATTTTTCATGTTCAAACCAGTTTAGGGGAGAATATGAAGGATCAATTTTTTGCTAATGATGTGTTCTTTTTTGCAGGTACAATTATACTATCTAGACTCTATATTTTAAGGAAACCTCAGGTGGTGGTATTAGTACTTGGTACTCAATCCATCGGGGAAGAATTAAAATTAGAGTTTAGCATAGTAGCTAGGAGTTTCATGGACATTAGGAAATACATAATAGAACAGGTGGTAGCAGGACATCACAGGCACATAAGAAAAGCAATATCAAGGCACATAAAAGAAAAACAAGCAACCACATGGGGTCATATTTGTACACAGAATGCAGACAGCAGAATTTTCATTCTAGGAGAACTCAGCTGGATGATGCATCTGTGTTTCCAGGTCTTTCCCTTGAACAAATCTTACTTGGTGGTATTAGTACTTTGTACTCAATCCAAGGGGAGGAAGGCAAGGGAAGATACAGTACAAGATAATCAATCAACAACAATTACAGCAGAAGCAAAGCAAGCATATATGTGGTGTATCACAGTTATAGCAATCATATCTATACTCTTCGGTTTAAGGAAGCTCCAGGTGGTGGTATTAGTACTATGTACTCAATCCATCGGGGTTAAATTAAACCTAGATTATAGTAAGATAGCAAGGAACAAAACATCACACAAGGTAGCAGGATACCATACCCATAAAAAAAAAATACCAACAGATACAAAAGACAAGCAAGCACAGCTAAGGGGTCATTTAGAAGCACAGTCTGCAGACAGTAAATTTCTCATTTTGAGAGAATTTAACTGGATGATGCACATTAATAAGAGAATAGATAAGGAGAAAAGGAAATTCAAGGCATTACATACAGGGGCTACTTTCATACATTCTACAAAGTTAGTGAGATTACAAACTTGAGTGAAGCAGTCACATATAATCCCACTAATGCACAGCAGGGCGATTCACTGGTCAACAGCTTCTCAAAGGGTTCTTGGCAGCATATGGTCTTTAGAGCAATCGCAGCAGATAGGAGGGACAATCTGCAGGAGCAAAGCCACTTCACCAGCACGAAGCAGCTCGATTCAGGTACATGCAGGACGAATCAACCAAGAAATAGATTAATTAAGGAAATTTGGTACAAAAATGAAGAAGACAAAATGGGTGCTGAAGAGAAGATAAGGGGAATCGATGATACCTATCTGAGCTACAGGCAGAGGCGGATGGGCAAAAGGAGTACAAT